CATACATACATACATACATACATACATACATACATACATACATACATACATACATACATACATACATACATACATACATACATACATACATACATACATACATACATACATACATACATACATACATACATACATACATACATACATACATACATACATACATACATACATACATACATACATACATACATACATACATACATACATACATACATACATACATACATACATACATACATACATACATACATACATACATACATACATACATACATACATACATACATACATACATACATACATACATACATACATACATACATACATACATACATACATACATACATACATACATACATACATACATACATACATACATACATACATACATACATACATACATACATACATACATACATACATACATACATACATACATACATACATACATACATACATACATACATACATACATACATACATACATACATACATACATACATACATACATACATACATACATACATACATACATACATACATACATACATACATACATACATACATACATACATACATACATACATACATACATACATACATACATACATACATACATACATACATACATACATACATACATACATACATACATACATACATACATACATACATACATACATACATACATACATACATACATACATACATACATACATACATACATACATACATACATACATACATACATACATACATACATACATACATACATACATACATACATACATACATACATACATACATACATACATACATACATACATACATACATACATACATACATACATACATACATACATACATACATACATACATACATACATACATACATACATACATACATACATACATACATACATACATACATACATACATACATACATACATACATACATACATACATACATACATACATACATACATACATACATACATACATACATACATACATACATACATACATACATACATACATACATACATACATACATACATACATACATACATACATACATACATACATACATACATACATACATACATACATACATACATACATACATACATACATACATACATACATACATACATACATACATACATACATACATACATACATACATACATACATACATACATACATACATACATACATACATACATACATACATATGCACGCACGCACATATATATGCACCCACACACATACATAGTTTACATGCATACGCACATACACATCTCAACATGCACACACAAACGGATATACGCACACATATATATGCACAAACATACACACACACGCAGATGCGCTTGTATGCTGTAAGCATATTAGTCATTAAAGGTATACACTATACAATTTGACATTGAGATATAATATTCTTATACAGTTAGTAATTTTGCATTGTGAGATTTTTTACTTGTACAGTATATTATTTGGCATTGTGATATGTTATAGGTATATAGTAAACAATTTGGCCTGGTGATATGTTATAGTTATAAATTATACAATTTTGAATTGTGAGATGTTATACTTATACAGTAAATTTGGCATTTTGATACATGATACTTGAACAGTACACAATTTGGCTTTGTGATATATATGTTATAGTTATAATTACCCAGTATACCATTTGGCATTGTAATACATTATAGGTACATGTATACAGTATAAAAACTGGAATTGTGATACATCATAGTTACAGTACACAATTTGGTATTGTCATATGTTATACTTGTACAAGTTTACAATTTGACATATAAACAGAGGAAAACAATAAAAATCTTTTTACTTTGTAAGAACTTGTTTGTATTTTATGCGGATATGCACACGTTTGTACACTGCTACACATACACATGTTTATAAACATATACTCGCATACAGGGCTATACATGTTCATGTTTAATATACATATTCACATATACATATAGACATGTACTATACTCAACAAATACATACATGTAACTTCTCACAATCTAGGGAGGTCAATGTTTTAGGAGTTGAAACATTTCAACAGTGTATATTATACCCTTTTTGGGTGTATAAAGCACATGTATATTAGCAAGTTATTAGCACATGTATATATTAATGTGTAGAAAGGGCTACACAAACATATAAAAAAGACAACAATATTTAATTAGTGTAATTATTAAGGGTATATGGGTGACCAACTGTTTGAGGTTCATTCACTTGGCTTTGGTTTTCAAATAATTTTGGTGGGTTTTTTTGCACTTAACTTAATAGGTTTTTCCATTCATTTCAAGTTTTGTTGATTTTTGGGATTTGCATGTTTTTTTGTGACAAGGTCAATTCGTATGTAAATGTTTCAGTTAGGTATTCTTTCAATCCTATTATTGAGAGATTTCCTGTTTTCTTTGAATTACAGAATATGTAGTATTTAGTGTAGGTAATGATGATGTTAGTTGGTTTTGTTTCATTAGTTTCTCCTGTGACCTCAAATAGAATTGTACTTATATCAAGGTCAATATTTTTACCAAGTTTATTATGAATCCATCTTCTAAGATTTTCCCATAAGTGTTGGGTGTTGATCGATGCAATTCCAAAATAAGTGTTCTATTTTGTCAGGGTGTGCTCTACAGAGTGAACAAGTATCAGAGTCTTTAATACCAATTGTTTTTAAGTACGAATTAGTGGTAATAATCCGGTTCAGGATTTTATATTGGAACCATTGGATTTTTGTTTCTTTTGTGGTTAGGAAGGGTAGTTGATGTATTTCGGTAACATTACTTACACTTAATCTATCATCTGATTTCCATTTTTGTTCTGCTGTATTTTTACATGTATTTTGTTTATTCAATAGTGTGGTTTACATTCTGTACTTCCCTTGATGGATTTTAATATTATTTGTAGGTGAAATGGAATGAAGGGTCTGGGGTGGTAATTCTCTGATTTTGTTAAGTCTATATTCAGTGTATGTGCAGCTTTTGTTATTGATTCACAGATGCTTCTATATTGGAGAAAGTTGTTTGAGTGTATAGTATATTTCTGTTTGAATTCTTCAAATGAGAGAAAAGTGTTATCATTTTGCAGAATGTCATTTACAAATTTTACTCCTTTGACATGCATGTCTTTATAGAAGAAAGAGGAATTATTCATCAAAACATTTGAGTTATACAATAGTGTTGATTCTTGAAAATTTGTAAGTGTTTTGGGAGGATTGTTTTCTGTGATGGTTACCCAAGCTTCAAGAACATCTTTCCAGAATTTATTGGTTGTTTTGATAGGCTTAAAGTGGTCTACATTGAATTGTGATATATTGTGTGTGCAAGTTATTTCCGCTTTAAACAAATTAATCCATTCTTTTGGTTTTGCTGTGAGAAGCCGTCTAATCCAAGTTGATTTGAGGCTTGTAATACATTTATCTAAGTCAATCATTTTTAATCCTCCGTCTTTATAATCTTTCACTAGAGTTTGTCTTTTAATTTTTTCTTTGTTTGACTGCCATATGAATTTGAAAAATGAAGTGTTTAAGTACTGAATTGTGTTTTTGCTCGGGTTAGGTATTGCAATGAACAGATGTGTTATTTTGGGTGTATGGTACTATTAATTAGCACATTGTCAGGCCTGGGGTATGGACTTGTCCGTAAAAACACGAGGATGTTTATAATTAGTATCAGTTTAACAGATACATTGTAATAAGTATATTAAGTTGTAAAGCTGGCCTAGCGTACGTGGAATTGTTCACATTGCACCTGTTGTTGCCAGGAGCCCCCAGGTTTGGTTCGCAGTAATACGCATCCCAAGTAGATTTATTTTTCAATCAGAATGATAAATCGCTGAAGGCGATGAGGACGACGACGAGTGGCAAGCTTATGTCGGATACACGTTATCAATTGATGACGTCACTGATGGTATTGCTGTGGGTAGATAGTCGTAAACGTATTTTGCACATGAACTCTTTTCATAACTATGTAACCTCTTTTAACTGGGAATACTCAATAATTAGATCTCACACCGGAATTGGATGGTCTATTTAGCGGCTGTTATTTGGTAATTCAAATGGATATGAGCAAATAAATGGCGTTTACAAAAATCTAATCATAAAAAAGGGTGAGGAACAATTTTAAAAAAAATCCTCATAGTAGTATTTGAAGATTATTCAGCATGTGTAACATTTAGACATACCTGACGATAATTTGTTTTTTCTCTTTCCATATTCTGTCTTTACTATGAGCTTTGATGCCAATACATATACATTTCGTCTTGACAATATTTGGCTTTAATCCCGAGTATTTTGCATACTGATCTAGTTGATTAAGTGTAGTTCTGAGAGATCTAACCGTACCATCTATAGTGATCAGTGGCGGACTCAGGGGTGTTGACCTAGTTGCCCGGGCAACACCCTTTTTGTGTCCAAAACTAATCTGGACTTAGGTTTTTGAAGATTTTCCTCTTTTTCATATGGGATTTTCTTCTCATATCAACCATCCTGTGAACTATATATATGATAGATAAACCTGTATTTTCACCTGTGGTTTCATGTACACATGATCACATAAGTAGTATACATGTACGACCGACATGACAATTATAATTTATTAGGTTTTTTTAGTCTTATTCTGATTTTAAAGTTTTGGGCAACACCCAAAATTAGTTCCTGTTTTCCTATTTTGAAAAAAATACTATATTGTATTACACACAGACTAGCATTTCTGTTTAAAGTTTGTATCATTTTCACATTTCTTATATTATTTAGAATATTAAAGTATTAAAATAATCACTTACGTGTACCTTTATGTAAATATGAAATTATAATGTTTGTGGAATTTAAACTTCTTTATATGATGTTAACATGCACGCGTCAATTCAAACAGCACTACGATTTCAGATGCAAATATATATATATAATTAGTACACGAATAAATGAAACGAACCTACCCGAACCAGCCCCTTGTGTACAATTGGATGTTTTGGTACGAACGCGCCTATAATGATAATTTCAATTTCCTGTTTAAGATGGAACTCCAGACTGATACAAAATAACAGATGAACGTCCGTGTAAAGTAAGTTGTGTTACATATATCAACATTTATGTTTAAAAGCACCTTCTGAAAGATACAGACACTGATCACCGTGATATTTCCCCCATTTAACACTCAACAACTCTTGTGTTTTTGGGTAGGCCTAGTCCTGCTCCGGACAACGTTACGAATCCGGAGTTAACAAATTACAATAGAAATTATATCTAAATAAATTACTTTTTTTCATAATTTCGAAGGTTATGTCATAGATAGGATGCATCAACAAAAGCCGACATCATCACATAGCTTGAGCTGATATCCTTGCACGGTTGCAGAAAAGGGCCACAGTAACATTGTGCACAGGCGCTTGGTATTTAAAAAATATGTAAGTAGTGCCAGTGAATTTTGGATTCTAGCTCAGGGTATGAAATACCAGATACAAGCGCCTGTGCATTTCAATTGCACGGAAGTCTGACGTTTAATCAATATAAGTATAACAGTCTGTATATATATATATAAAAAAACACTGTATACTATAAAAAAAAACACTATATATAGGGTATTTTTTATATATACAGGCTGTTATACTTATTAAACTTCAGACTCCTGTAGTGATTGTAAAGAAGTACATGTTACTCATGATTACCATACAAGAATGAAAGTATACCACAAAACTGATTATACAACAATTTACTCTGCAGGAGTACAGTACACAGTCTGTAAATTCAACTGAATATTGAGGATATTGCAACTAAACAAAGAAAAATAATCACTTTAAATATAATATGTAAACAAAGCTTGAAAAATGATATAACGTTGTAAATATTATATATGAAATGGAGTTTTTGTGGCATTCTTACATCCATGACTTTCTAATTCATGATCAGCTGAAAACTTTTACTAAATTGAGTCAAACTCAAGATTAGAAACATTTGTATTTTTTTATGGAGGAGAGAGCTAGCTCTCCCAACACAAATCAATGCTGTGGGGGGAAATGTTCTGTTTTTAAATGATGATATCATCATCAGTAAATTGTTTACAACATTGTCAAAGAGAAATTGTTATAACAAATTTAAAATTGATAGCCATAACAATGAACATGATATTAGTATTAAGGCTTTCAGACTTGTTCTTATACAGTACCAATGATTTGAAATCAGGAATTGTAGCTTAGTTTGATTGAATAGGTTTTACAGTAAGATAAATTTTTTAGATAGAATTTATGGATGTTCCATGCACAATGTCCCTGCAAAAACAGATTAAGCTAGAAATAGCATTTGATGCATTAACATTTTTTTTCAGATATTGATGTTTTTTAAAAGATGGAGTACCAATTCAATGCAGAAAGCACGTTTCCATCAGATAAGGAAATAACTGAACTGACCAGACAACAACTGACCAAAGAGCTCATGTGTACACTCTCGACAGATGAGACCTCTACATCAGAAAAAGAAACAGAAGGACAGGAGACTGTCAAGTCAAACAACAAAGAACTTGTTTGTGATGTCTGTGGTAAGTTGTTCATCAAACCAAGGAAACTAAAACTGCACGCCAAGACTCACTCCACAGAGAAGCCATTCAAGTGTGGTGTGTGTGGTAACGGGTTTAAGTCCTCAGGAGACCTTAAGAAACATCTCATGATACACACCGGAGAACGACCCTTCACCTGTGAAATCTGCGGAAAAAGCTTCTCCAGGAAGGGTACTTTACAGAGCCATGAAATAACTCATGGAGACTATAGGGCATACAAGTGTGATGTTTGTGGCAGGGGGTTTGGACAGAAAAGGGCATTGGAGGTACATACAAGGATACATACAGGGGAGATGCCATTCAAGTGTGACATTTGCGGGAAAGGGTTTAGACAGTCAGAGTGTATGAAGCGACACGTCATGATCCATACTGGAGAACGGCCGTACGATTGTGATATATGTGGGAAAAGTTTTACGCAGGCGGGACACATAAGATCTCACCGCAGGACACATACAGGCGAGAAACCCTACCACTGTGAACACTGTGGTAGGGCATTCAACCATAAAGATGGACTGAAGCGCCATGTCCGAATTCACACTGGAGAGAAACCTTATGAGTGCCATATTTGTGGACGAGCATTCACTCAAACAGGGAGTCTAAACACGCACTATAAGGTACACAAAAAACAACCTGAACCAGGCACACTGGAGAGAAACCTTACAAGTGCCATATTTGTGGACCAGCATTCACTTGAACGTGGAGATTTAACACAATCTATAGACACACAACAGCCCAGCTAGACCAGACTGGTTGTACTGAAAAATGGGGTGCACATAGACATGTCGAAAAAGTAAAAACAAACATTCTGTTATATATGATGCGACAGAAAATTGTAATGGTGTTACCTAATGGGAAGATGACTTGATAATTCTTGCTGTATCTTGATTTTATATAGTGATATTCTCTCTATACATGTCGAGGATAAATGGGAAAAATAACTTCAGCATTTGATATGGCAACTATATATATATCATAATGGAATTGTTTCACATTCAATGTTTGATGAAATTATGTAAACAGTCAGTATTAGGCAGTAGTCCTTTTTTACCTTTTTTTCCTTCTTTTTGTATGCCAAACGAAAGACAGGACTTATTGTGTTATCGTGTGAGTGGGCGGGCGGGCATGCACATTGTCCGCTCGATATTTAGAGTTTTCAACAGATTAACTTCAAACTTCATGGGAAGATTAAATATAATGATGAGAGCCCAAACAAGTTATATATCAACCATCATCCGACTGGCTTCAAACTTCATGGGAAGGTCAATCATTATGAGGGCTCAGACAAATTTGATAAACGCCATTATCTGACAGTCATTTAGGGAGTTATGCCCCTTTATTCAATAGCTGAAACAATGTCTGCTTTACACCATGTGCAATTTTCAACACATTACCTTCAAACTACAAGATTTGCCAAGGGGTTGTATCCCACCACGGCGCCACCAAGTCCATAACATGGGTTACAACACATAAATTTATGTGATCATTAGACCAAGTACACATATTTACATGGATCAAAGTTAATCCTATGAAGTAGTCTTGATCTTTGGGACCTGGAAATCAATTGTTGTGTTAGTAAGATTGTATACTTACCTCCCCTTGTGTCAGGTTCAAAAGAGGGTACAAGTAATTTATGATATTTAGATTTTTAGGTCACCTGAGCTTTGCTCAAGTGACCTATTCCAATCGCTTTTCGTCCGTCGTCCGTCGTGCGTCGTGCGTAAACTTTTACATTTTCAACTTCTTCTCAAGAACCAGTGGATGGATTTTTTTCAAACTTGGTCAGAATCATCCTTGGTAGATGAGGCTTCAAAATTGTAAAATTGGGATTCCTACCCCAACCCCTGGGGCCAGGGCGGGGCCCCAAAGGGAAAATTA